GCACTTTAAGGTAACATAGTTGATATTAGTTGATATTTGTTTATTTTTATATAATTCTCAATTTTTTATGATATTATATTTTAAATTGATTTTTAAGATTTTTTTTGGATAAAATTTTTAAAATTGTTTATAATAAAATACTAACACACACAAAAATAATGATTATATTCGTATTTTTTATGATATTGCATTTTAAATTAATTTCTAAGATTTTTTTTTGGATAAAATTTCTAAAATTGTTTATAAAAACATACTAACACAAATAAAAAATAATGATTATATTCGAATTTTTTATAATATTGCATTTTAAATTGATTTCTAAGATTTTTTGGGATAAATTTTTAAAAATTGTTTATAATAACATACTAACTCGTTGTATGTATGTGATAACAAATAATGATTATAATTGCTTTTATATTTATGATATTTCATTTTAAATTGATTACTAAATTTTTTTTTTATAAAAAATTCTAAAATTGTTTATAATAACATACTAACACACATAACAAATAATGAATATATTTACTTTTATATAAGATTTGAAATAGTTCAAAAGAAAAACCCGCACATTACGTGCGGGTATTCACCTATGCACTGGTTATGCAACTATAAATAATGGTTACATTAAACTAAAACATGTTGGTTGTTATTTCAAAACGATTTGATTGAATATTTGAATTAGATACATGCTATAAATATGTTTTATTGTGAGAAAATATATGTTCTTTGATATTTATTAAATATATATAGATTATATTTACTAAATATATATAAATATTTGTGAATCATGCATATATATAAACGGTTGTTTTGGTTAAAAATGACAATAGTAATTAGTCTAGTAAATTTAGTCTACTTTAAAAAAAAATATGACACCTCAATATGATAGTCATGTAAATAACACATGACATAAAAGTTCTTTTTTAAGTGTCATTCTCAAATAATAATAATAGAAAATTATATGTTTTACGACCTCTATATGTTTAGGATTGGCTTTGTGTATCATGGGCTGAAATAAAAGTGAGAGTGGAGAGGAAGAGTATCATAGAATAATGACATGAAAAATAACACTGAATCTTAATGGGTAAGTTTAATCAAAACTAATGGTTGACTACAAAATTAGATAGATAATAAAAAATTAGGTGGTTATGAGAGTGAAAACAAAAATTAGGTCATAGTTATCCTTCAATTTTATGTTAATTACGAAAATACTATTTATCACAATATTTCTTTTTTCAAATTAAATTAACTCAGTTAACGCAGTTATCGTCAGTTATTTTTTCATTGGATTGATCTTTTCATCACAGACATTATTCGTTATTATTATTATATCATAAAAATTTGGAAATTAACGCAATTATCGTGTTAACCCAGCTATCATATTAGAATAAATTTATGTAGTTACTTGCTAACGATATATATTAACATTGCTAACAATATATGTTAACATACTAACAATAATATCTGATATTTGTTAACGTGCTAACAAAGTTAACAATAATATTTGATACTTGTTAACATGTTACCTGATATTTATTAGCGGCTAACAATAATATATAATACATGTAATGTGTTAACATAGTATGTTAGCTTGCTAACGATAATATATGATTCATAGAACGTATTAACATAGTATGTTAACTTGCTAACGATAATATATAATACTTGTTCTTTGGTCCTCGGTGAATCCATCATTTTTTTGTAGTTACTTGCTAACGATAATATATAATACGTATTAACATATTTATGTAGTTACTTGCTAACATTGTACGTTAACATGCTAACAATACTCTCACCACTGTTCCCATCAACATCATCATCATAGAATTATCACTAACCTCCATTTTCACATTCACCATCTTCTATGAGATAATCTAATTGAAGACAATATTAGATGGCGACTGATTATAATGGTTAAAGAACCCGAGTGTGGCTATTCTTCTGCTTCATTATCTTCTTCTCGAAGATCAAGCGATGCAAAATTTAAAAAGAAAAAAAAAAGTGAAAACGAGAAAGATAAGAAAGAGAGAGAGAGAAAGAGCAGCTGAAAAAGTGTTTGTGGGTGAAAGATGAGAGATAGAGAATAAATGAGTAATTTGTAGTTTAAAGAACAAAAGGAAAATATAGTAAAATCCATTACTTAATCCTTGTTAAAAAAATTGTTAAAAGCTGTTTTTTAATTTTGCTATTATCTATTAGTATCTATTGCTATTACTCAATCTTAATAGTTAAGTATTTTTATATTATGTTTAGTAATTTTTAGCGATTTAAATTCGGATGGTAATTACACTAATACAAACCACTAGAAATAGAATAAATTACTCTAATTGTTTTATTAAACACATAGAGAAACTCTTAACACTGTAGAAGCCATTTTTCCTTTACTAACTTTATTATTAAATCCCGCTCTTCGCCGCATAAACTCTACACTTTCTCTCAGTGGGAAAAAAATAAAAAAAACTCTACACTTTCTCCAGCTGTAGTCTAAGTTTAGATACCACAACAAGATATATGATAATATATATTTTGCATTTAATAATATTCAAATACTAGTCCAACCGAACCTTGCTAACTTTCTTCTCACGACTTTCATTTTGTCTTTAGTTCTGTTTCCCAAAAACACTTAGCTGTTTTCTTACTGTAATCTCTAAACGCGCTCTTTGCATAACTGTCAACCAAATCTTTGTTAGGTTTTGGTCTCTTTTGAAGTTTTCATTTTTACCCCTCTCTTCTTCCCCTATATATATAAAACACACACAAACTCAAACACATCAAACTCAGAACACACATCACTTCAAAGCTTTCTTCGTCTCTTTGTTTTGCTACTTCTACATATTTAAAAATGGCATCTTTTATCTTGGGTCACAATCTTGGAGTCTTGTTCTTGTTATTCGTCGTTGCGTTTGTGTGTCTAGACGCAAAGACGGACAAAACGCAGGATTACATGTCGTTTCAGTACCACAAAGGAGCGCTTCTCACCGGAGACGTCTCCATCAACCTAATCTGGTACGGGAAGTTCAAGCCGTCGCAGCGTGCCATCGTAACCGACTTCGTCACCTCCCTCTCGTCATCTTCCCGGAGATCAGCCACGGCCCAAAACCCTTCAGTCGCCACATGGTGGAAGACGGTGGAGAAGTATTACCACAAGACGACGACACGTGGACACCTCGCTCTCTCCCTCGGAGAACAGATCCTCGACGAAAGTTACTCAATGGGAAAATCATTAACAGAGAGAAACATCAAAGCCTTAGCCGCAAAAGGCCGTCAAAGCTATGCTGTCAACGTTGTGTTGACCGCTGCTGATGTAATGGTCCAAGGCTTTTGCATGAACCGATGCGGGTCGCACGGGTCAGGTTCGGGCAAGAAAATATCAAAATTTGCGTACATCTCGGTCGAGAACTCAGAGACTCAGTGTCCGGGACAATGCGCATGGCCATTCCACGCGCCGGTTTACGGGCCGCAAAGCCCACCACTTGTGGCGCCTAACAACGACGTGGGTTTAGATGGGATGGTGATCAACTTGGCGAGTTTGTTAGCTGGGACAGCAACTAACCCTTTCGGAGATGGGTTTTACCAAGGGCCTAAAACGGCGCCGCTTGAGGCTGGTTCGGCTTGTAGTGGAGTTTATGGTAAAGGTTCGTATCCTGGTTATGCTGGTGAGTTGCTTGTGGATGCAATGAGCCGTGGGAGTTATAATGCGAAGGGAGCAAATGGGAGGAAGTATTTGCTTCCTGCTCTGTTTGATTTGGAAACATCTGCTTGCTCCACTCTGCTTTGAACACTCAAGTTGGTGATACGTTTAAAAAGCTCAGTTTAGTATACACTAGATTCAAATAATCCCTTTTGTTTCTTAATATTCTTCTGATTCATATAATTCTTTTGTTTACTTAGATATTATTCTTTTTAAATTGTAACGTGATATATAGCTATTGATGATATCAATTGCTTTCTTAAATTTCTTTTTAGTCGAATATTACAACATATTTGCGAAGAATTAGTGAGGAGAGCAAAGCTTCTTGCAGTCCATCGCAAATTTGCAAAGGAAATGTAAGGACACATTTTGTAGCAACTTGTGATGGGAAAACTAGCGGTTTTAAGTTTGGACCAAGTTTTAAATGAAAAAGTGACCGTCTGATTGCGATGGTGTTTAGGAGTATGAGCAAACAATTTAGAAAAAGTTGATGCCAATGCAAGTATTCTAAACATCGTAAGCATGTAGAAATGACCTTTCTTCTTTATCCTCGAGTTGGGCAAAAGCATGATCATATGTGGTTATAGGGTTATCAAAATGAATCCAAGAGGCTGTATAGTCGGTTTAGTGGATGATGTAGCGATGCAACAAGAATTGGAGAAGTCTCCATCCCAATGGAATCAACACATGATGTTATACACTCTGATCGATTTAATATAGAAGTTTACGACATCTTAGACGAATCTAAGGAAGATCCATAATCAGACGAATTCAAAGAGTTTGTTAATGAAAAACACTGATGAGGCTAATGGACACTTCTATGTATATGAAAATGAATCTTATTAATTTTAAGAAGTGTTCTCTTATTTTTTAAAATGTGACTTTCTCCATTTGCGAGGGCACTACGAGTCATGAAATGATCCACAAACTCAGTTGAGGAACATATTCAATACTTGCAAACTAATTACTAGGTACCATCGCCTGAACAAACTCTGTTTTTGGACTCCACCTTCCTAGAATAGACTTTATGGAGCTTATCAGACTGACCTTCAAGGTAGATAACAGCCAAATTTGGTTCTATGCGCTTGCGGGAGAAGATAGAAAAGCATGCAAAGAGAAAATGAAACCAGAGATGATCACTTTAGTAACTCAAGGCGACTTTGGATTGGTTTTTAAATCGTTGTTGTGGCCTGCCTGAATGGCTTTTATTAGAAGGTAGGAATCTCCCCCTTTATGCGAAGGTGATCAAAATTCTGTATATAGTATAAAGTTTATACAAAAGATGTTCATTATTACACCCTTGGAGATATAAATAGAAAGGGTCATACATTAAGAAACGCTGAAATTCAAACCTAGGAAAAAAAAACATGTGATGATGGTTATCATTGATGTTGAAGTTCTACCGTGTCTGAAGAGGAAACAATGGTTCAACATCTGAACATGACGAAGACGATGCAACGAAGTTGTATTGAGAAGCTGGAGCGGTAACAGCAATATTGTTCCATGATTCTACCCTTGCATTAACTTCCACAACGTACTCGTTTCTTGTATTGACCTCTTCCTCTATTTCTTCTTCGTTTCCACCAACATACTCGTGTGGCTGCGTATCTTCAAGAAGAGATCGAATCCTTTCTAATTCCATTGACACTTCTCTCATGGTTGGACGTTTTTTTCCTTTCAAATTTAGACACCTCCTTGCAATCTTTGCCGCTGCAGTAACTTGATTCAGCTTGCAGCCATCTCTGATCCGTGCATCAATAATGTCAAAGAGTTTGTTCTCTTTCATTGCAAGAATGAAATAAGTTGACAGTGTCCTGTTTTCTTGAGTCCGCAAGAAAGAAATTGACCTTTCTCCCGTGATGAGCTCGGCGAGCACCACTCCGAAGCTATGGACATCACTTTTTTCAGTGAATTGGCTAGACTGGAAATACTCTGGATCTGTATATCCTACCGTACCTGAAACAACTGTTGTCAGGTGGGTATGATCAACTGTTACTGTTCTCGAAGTGCCAAAATCAGAAATTTTGGCTTGATATTTCTCATCCAACATTATGTTTGTAGACTTGATGTCTCTGTGATAGATTGGAGATGATGCAGCCGAGGGCAAGTATGCAAGAGTCCCTGAAATATCTGTAGCAATGCGGAGACGCACGTCCCAAGTAACCATCGTGTAATCATCAGACTCATTATAAAGATGTTCGAAAAGATTACCATTAGGAACAAACTCGTAGACCAGAACAGGAACATCTGTCTCAAGGCAACAACCCAAGAGTTTCACAATGTTCCTGTGGTTGATCTGAGAGAGAATGACAATTTCATTGATGAACTCGTCTAGCTTGTCTTCGTCTACAACTTTAGACTTCTTCAATGCTACAATGCTACCATCGACAAGCATTCTCTTGTACACAGTACCTTGACCACCCTGGACAAGTATTCAGTTTAAACTAAAGTTTTTAGTGGCTTTCTCCAACTCTCTCGAGCTAAACACTCTTGTCTTATCGACTTTGCCTTCCTTTGAAGTTAATTGTTGTTGCAGCAATATACCACCATTACGTTTGAAGAACTTCTTCTTTTGGTTTAACCTTCTTTGCTTTTTAATAAACTTGTATAACCAGTGTATTCCACCAATAAAGATCAAGCCAAAACCTATACCAATCCCTGCAAATCCACAAAATATAAATGATTTGCAAAATCTATTTTTTTTCTAGTATTCCTTGGGTAAATGGAAAACATAAATGTTGATGATAGTCACAATAAACAAAAGCTTTTGATAGATGCAAGTAAATTTGGAATAAAAATATGCCCACGACTTACCTATAGCAATTACTGAACGTTTAGGGCCTGTAGTGTACACACAGTCATAAGATCCCTGCAAATTGACACAAGTGCCCCCCACTGCAGTACAAGTTCTTTCCACGAGAGTTTTTGCTTCTTGGCATTCATTAATATCTGGATAAAACAAAAAATACATATATAATCAATTGATGTTCTTGCAATTTTACCTTGACCATGACTGTCTTGTATATAAAAAAAAAATAGAACCAAGAACTTCAGAAGCAATCACTAACCTTTGCATCCGAATTGTTTGTATGGGTTTCCTCCGTAACCTTGAGTGCACCCGCATCTTTCATAGTTAAATGAACATTGTAATCGCATGCACAACTTATTGTTGGATCAAATTTTGTCTCTTCTTTAGATTCTGTTACATTCTTGCATCCCAAAGAGTTTATGAACGACATATTTGTCGCAGGAATGAACCATCCTAGCTCAACTGTAGAATATTGTGCAGCATAATGCTCTCGCAGGCTATGTTTACTTACCGAAGAGTATGAATGGGCTGTTAAGAAAGCAACTTTGCACCCTGTCGTCGTGTTGTTATCGTCTATTTTGACACCGACGACCTGTTGAAACCCATAGGCTATTGCCGTGCAAATTTCTTTATCCTCAAATGTGCTTGCATCGCAACCCTGAGGCTTAGTATAGGGTATGCTTGCCGTGCAAATTCCTTCATCCACAATTGTGCTTGCATCGTAACCCCCGGGTCTAGTACAATTGATTCCATTTAAATAAACTTCTGAAGCCGTGAGGTTCTTTGTACCACAACTCAACCTGCAACCCACCAAGCTTGGCTCCACATTCGTCAACCATGCCGTGTTGTTGCAACCAGCCACTATTAAAGTATTACCGTCTCCAACGGTAAAAGGGGTACCCCTCAAATCCAAAAGTGATTCATGCTTTTCTTCTCCGTCGTTTGAGCATCCTTTTGAAGTTATTGGGTTTTTTATGCGAAGTGACCCATATGCCTCGATACTCACAACTTCCTAAGCAATTACTGAAAGAAAAGGGACAAACTTCTTGTTAAGTTTCCTGGGCTTCCAACTCAAAACTAATTGGCAATGAATGGATTGGCCCAAGTCCCTTTATATATTAGTGTCGTCTCATCCCAACTTTCGATGTGAGACAATATTCCTTCACACGTCCCCTCGAGATGATGGTTCTTCTAACCATTCATCTCAAAAGAATTTATTGGGATATATTCTATATATCTACTTGAAAATATTCTCGTATCTATTTGCATATATTCGGGTGTATCTTTTATATTGTAATCTTCCTATTTCTGTGGGAAGCTAGGTCATATCTCTGTGTATATATGCTGATCGATTGATCTGAACATAATACAAGAAACCTTCATACCAATATTAGGCTTCTTGACATGGTATCAGAGCTCTAATTCACAAAAATTGCTCATTTTTTCGTTTTTTCTCTCTTTATATCATCACTTTGTTTGCTCTGTTCTTTCTGATTCAATTCAATGGGAGACAAAGACAAACAGGGTGAGTTTACCGAGTCGTCGGCGGTCAAATCAACAGCTGCTTCACCATCTGCTGTTGAGGTCCAGTGCCGCACGATCTCACCATACAACCTCTCGTCGAGTGACAATCCGGGTTCTGTGATTTCTCAACCTCTGCTCAAAGGGCCAAATTACAATGAATGGTCTGCTAACCTGCGTATGGCCCTCAAGGCAAGGAAGAAGTTTGGGTTTGTTGATGGTTCGATTCCACAGCCAGCTTCAGATTCGAAGGACTTGGAAGACTGGTGGACCAACAACGCTTTGGTTCTCTCCTGGATCAAATCGACGATTACAGATACTGTACGCTCAAATCTCTCACACTTGGAGGTTGCGCGTGATTACTGGGAACATATTCGATGGCGCTACAGCGTTAACAACAGTCAACGTGTTCAACGCATTAAAGCCGAACTTGCTACATGTAGACAACATGGCTTGTCTATTGAGACTTACTACGGCAAATTGATGCAGCTTTGGACTGCATTATCGGAGTACCGCAAACCTAAAATCTGCAGTTGCTCTACTGGTGCCGATTTGGAATGTGAGCAAGAAGAAGACAAGCTTCACGAGTTTCTCAAGGGCTTGGATGAATCCCTTTATGGATCCGTGGAATCTAATCTTCTCTCGCGCACACCATTACCTTTCGTGGATGAAGCATACAGTGCTCTTCTGCAAGACGAAGACTCGAAACACACATCACGAGTCCTCGATGATAGACCAGAAATTGCAGCTCATGCGATTCGCTCCAATTCTGGGTCGTCTCCCTCTGTGCCTCCGCGTGGTGCAGCTATGTCCCGTGAAGAACGAATGAAACTTCTCTGCACCAGCTGTGGTCGCAAAAGTCATCTTGCTGCCAACTGTTTTCGTACTCTTGGTTATCCGGATTGGTGGGGAGATCGTCCAAGAGGAAAGACCACGTCTTCTACAGGAACTGCAGCACCATCTTATACCTCTGCTGCCTCTGCTAGTGTTCATGCGACTCAGGTTCTGTCTTCGCCGCAGTCAGCCTCTCATGCTGTTCAAGCTTCCGATCGCGTTGGTTTGAGTGGGCTCAATGATGAGCAGTGGCGAACTCTTGTTACTCTCCTGAATGAACGCAAGCAGCCGACATCTACATCTTTGAGTGGTATGTTTTTTTAGGCTCTTTGATTATTGATTCTGGTGCTACAAATCATATGACAAGATCTCTTCATTTCCTCTCCGACATCAGAGAGGTTACACCTTTGCCTCTGAAACTGCCTGATGGCAGAGTCACCTTTGCTATGCAACAGGGAACTGTTGTTCTAAGTTCTACACTTACACTTACGGATGTGCTCTTTGTCGATGGTTTACAGTGTCATCTGGTTTCTGTTTCTCAGTTTACGCGCCAGCGCGATTGTCTGTTTCAAATCACTGATCAGATTTGTTTGATCCAGGACCGCATTACCAAGATGCTGATTGGAGTGGCTGAGCAGCAGTCGGGTCTTTACTTTCTTAGATGGCTGGAGTTCGCTGGAGCAGTGCAGCATACGGATCGCGTTTTGAGAGAAGTATGGCATCACCGATTAGGACATCCCTCTTCTGGTGTTTTAGATTTGTTACATATTTCAGATTTTTCTCCTATTAGTGCTTTGCTGAACAAAGCGTGTGACACTTGTATACCAAACAGACTCGTTGTTCTTTTCCTACAAGTTTTAATAAGACAACAGCTCCTTTTGAGCTAGTTCATTGCGATTTATGGGGCCCTTATCGAACTATGACTCATTGTGGTTCTCGATACTTTCTGAGTGTCTGGCTATATCTTCTTTCGACTAAAGTCGATGTTTCTCGTACACTTAAGAACTTTATTGCCCTTGTGGAGCGACAATTTGCAACACAGGTTAAGACCATTCGTAGCGACAATGGTACCGAATTTCTTTGCCTAACGGCATTATTTCAAGAAAAAAGTATTCATCATGAAACATCTTGTGTCAGCACACCTCAGAAAAATGGACGTGTCGAACGCAAGCACTGTCACATTCTTAACGTTGCTCGGGCTTTGCGATTTCAGGCTTCACTTCCACTTGAGTTTTGGGGCGAATGCATCATGACAACAACTTATCTGATTAATCGAAATCCTACCCCTCTGCTTGACAACCTTACGCCATTTGAACGTTTCTACAATCGCCCACCTACTCTTACTCATCTTTGTATTTTTGGGTGTTTATGCTACGCTCACAACCAAAACCATAAGGCAGATAAGTTCGCTACTCGAAGTATTAGAGGAGTTTTTGTTGGCTATCCTTATTGCAAGAAAGGATGACGTGTCTTCAATCCAGAGACAGGCAAGATTTTCTCTTCTCGAGATGTGGTGTTTTGCGAATCAGACTTCCCATTTGCATCGGAGTCTTCTCCTGTCACAGAACATGCGCCGCTGATCTCTGCACCTTCTGATTTGTCGTCTACTGTTGATGATTCGCACTCTCCTCTGGCTCCTGTGCCGTTTAATGACACTCCCGTGTCGTCTACTGATGAGTCCCCAGCTTCACAATCTGAATCTCTTGCAGATTCGGATCCTACTCCTCTCGCAGTTGATACAGCCACAGACCCTGTTGTTGATGTCTCTCCGAGTGTCGAGCTCTCACTGTCTCTCTCTGATTCGGCTTCTCCAGACTCTGTTTCTCTTGACTCTGTTTCGATCGACTCTGTTACTCCTGCTGACTCTGTTACTCCTGATCCTGTCGCTGATTCTGTTACAGCTCCAAGTACAGAACCTGCTGTTGAAGAGCTCGGTCGCGGTTGCCATGTGCGACAATTACCGAAGAAGCTTCAAGACTTCGTTCTCCAAACGGTTTCTCCAGATGCGTCTTCCTTCCCTACGGCTCCTTATGCACTAGAGTTCTACGTCGACTCTTCCATATTCTCAGAAAGTTACTGTCACTTTCTTGCTGCGATTTCCTCTGTAACAGAGCCGAAATCTTTCAAGGAGGCTGTTTTGGATGAACATTGGCGTTTTGCTATTAAAGATGAGTATGATTCTCTTGAGGAAAATCAAACATGGACTGTTGAAGATCTTCCTCCAGGGAAACATGCGATTGGCAGTAAATGGGTTTTTAAAGTCAAGTTTCGTTCTGATGGTTCCATTGAACGCTACAAAGCTCGTTTGGTGGTTCTTGGCAACAATCAGATTGAAGGAGATGACTATGAAGAAACTTTTGCACCTGTCACAAAGATGACCACGGTTCGTACGTTTCTTCAAATTGCTGCGTCTCGGAACTGGGAAGTACATCAGATGGATGTCCATAACGCTTTCTTACATGGCGACTTAACAGAGGAGGTTTACATGCGTCCTCATCCGGGTTTTCGTGGTGCTGATCAGAATAAGGTTTGTCGCTTGCGTAAGTCCCTCTACGGTCTCAAACAGGCTCCTCGCTGTTGGTTCGAGAAGCTTGCGTCTGCTTTACGTGACTACGGGTTTGTTCAATCCATTCCCGACTACTCTCTGTTTAACCTGGACAAGGGATCAGATCATTTACAGGTGCTTGTTTATGTCGATGATCTAATTCTTTCTGGAAGTTCCCTGTCACTGCTTGCATCCTTTAAAGACTATGTCAATAAGTGTTTCCATATGAAGGATCTTGGTATTTCGAAATACTTTCTTGGCTTGGAACTTGCGCATAATCCGACTGGCATTTACATCTGCCAGCGTAAGTATGCACTTGACATTATTAGTGATGCTGGTCTTCTTGCTGCTAAGCTTGTCGCGTTTCCAATTGAACAGAATCATCAGTTGGCCGTCGATGCTGGACCTGATTTGAAAGACATTCATAAATATCATCGACTAGTTGGTCGACTTATCTATTTGGCGGTCACACGACCTGATTTGGCTTATTCTGTTCACTTGCTCGCTCAGTTTATGCAAAAACCGAAGCAAGCTCATTGGGAAGCTGCTCTTCGTGTCGTGCGGTATCTCAAGGGTTATCCGGGTCAGGGTATTCTTCTGCGTGCTCATGTGGATCTCAAGATTGAGGCTTGGTGTGATTCTGATTGGTCAGGTTGTCCTCTTACTCGGAGGTCACTTACGGGTTGGTACATCACTCTGGGAGGCTCTCCTATATCTTGGAAGACACAGAAGCAGAAAGTTGTCTCTCGCTCTAGTACGGAGGCCGAATATCGTGCGTTATCTATGACCGTTCAAGAGCTTCTTTGGATTCGTAATCTTCTTGAGTCTTTTGGTATCACTTTTACGGCTCCGATTCCTCTGCATTGTGATAGTAAGTCTGCTCTGCAGTTGGCTGCCAACCCACTCTTTCATGAACGTACTAAACATGTAGAGAATGATTGTCATTTCATACGAGATGAGATTGTTCGCGGAACTATAGTCACTCGTCATGTTAGCACACACTCGCAGCTTGCTGATATATTCACTAAGGCGCTTGGTCGTCACC